AAACTGTCTCCTGCTCCATCTCTCTGGATCTACTGAAGGATCCAGTGACTACTTCCTGTGGTTACAGCCACTGTATGAAGTTACTCAGTCAGTTGTTCTGAAATGAAAACTGGTTTAATGAAAACATTAAATTCCAATCCAATATATTTATGTTTGTGATTGTAATCAGACAATCCAGAATGCTGCTGCTGGAGTTCTGACTAAAACCAGGAAGATAGAGAACATGACCCCGCAGGCTCCCTGTAGCTCAGAGAATAGACTTTTAAATACTGTTAGTTTATAAATCAGTGAATGACTCAGCACCAAAATATATTAAACTGTTGTGCTCACAGCCAAACAGACTTTAAAAAGAAACTGGAAGAAGTTAAAAGGAAATAAACGATATAAAAAAAATCTAAGAAGTGGCAACAATTTATCCATTAGTTAATATGAACGAACCTCTTATTATTACAATAATTCTTTTAAAAAACAAAGAAATTGTTGCATCCAAAACTCAGAATAACCAGAAAAACTAAAATGAAGTCTAATTTATGTTCAGGAGTCCAAATAAATGTTTTTTTCTTCTGTCCGTTCAACAGCAGAAATTTAAAGATGCAATTCTTTAAATTCAAGATGCTTTATCATGTGAAGCATCTTGAACTGATTTGTTGCTGAAATGTGCTGCACAAATAAACTTGATAGACTGAAATATGGAAGTTGTAAGTTCAAAGGGTAAGAATACTTTTGACTGTTTTATCCAAACACAATCAAACAAGAACTTGTCATTTGGAGGCCTTGACATGTTCATTTATGCAGGGATGTCCAAAGTCGGTCCTCGAGGGCCGGCATCCTGCATGTTTTAGTTCTCTCCCTAGTGGTTGTAACAACCTCCTCACCAAGTCAATGTCCCTCTTAGGCCTTCTAACGAGCCATCATTTGATGCAGGTGTGTAAAACCAGGGAGAGAACTAAAACATGCAGGATACCGGCCCTCGAGGACCGACTTTGGACGTCCCTGATTTATAGATATTTGCTTTTGAGAGATGAACTAAGAATGTTGAGAGACAGAGAGAGAGAGAGAAGCTGAATTTAGCAGGTAAACCATGATGATTTTTTTGTTTGCATAAATTTTAAAAATATTTTGCAAATGTTAAATAATTTGACAATGGCATCAAAGGGACTGAGAAAACTTTTAATAATAAACAGTCGATTCGGTTCACTCTGCTATTTGCCTGGTTGAAACTCCCACAGACTGCAGCTGTAATAGACAAAAGTCTCTCACTCTCTACTTTCATTTTCCGTGGCTGTTTGTCACATCACTGCAGAGACTCAGCAGGGTGTGAGAATATTTAAAACTTTTTTTGAAACTAGCAAAGCTACATAGTCCAGGTTAGATTTGAGTTTGCTGAAAAATTGGCTGACCATTGAGTCACAGGAACCTGATAGGATAACAGGGGAATTATGGGTAAGATGGCAGTTGGAGCCGTGGCCTCACGCTGAATCAAATCAGTGACATTAAAAACACTCAGTGATGGTCAGACACAGCCAGGTCAACAACAGAGGTCACACCAGAGGTCAAACCAAAGGTCATGACCAGGTCCCTGGTCCCCTATTAGTGGGCTGGATTATCAACATTTAGATTAAAATCACCAGTCACAAAAATCTTATTATTAAAAACTCAAAATAAGTCAGTAATAAGATCAGCAGCTTGTCCAGGTGGTCTGTAGACAATAACAAAGTATTTGCTAGTTGTTAAAAACAAAGGCATGATGCTCAAAAGAAGGGTACTGCTCAAATGAAATGTCTTTAGCACCCAGTGAATGATTGAATATTACCACCACTTCCTGCCACTTCCGGCATAAAAAGAAAATTTAAAACCAGGTGGAGAGGCCTCAGTGAGAACAACTGGTGCATCTGTGCCCAACCAAGTTTCTCTTAAAACAAACAGTCCAGTTTAGCATCTAAAATCAAATTATTTAGAATAAAATATCTGTTTAAAGGAGAGCGAATATTTAAAAGTGAGAGTGACAGGTGAACCATTGACATTAGTTGTGACTTTTAGGAAATAACATTTTCCTAAAAGTCTAAGGTGAATAAATTTCACAGAACAGATACAATTGTGTATAGTTTGCTCCCTGTATGTAATCTGAACTGAAATTAACTGGTTAACAGAAACAGATGGGCCTGGCCCAATTGTCATAAGATGAACAGAAGCCAGGACCATGTAGACGTCAATCAGTAGCAGACTGGTAAGATGTGGTTATATGGTTACCAGAAGATAGAGAACATGAACCCACTGGCTCCCTGTAGCTCAGAGAATAGACTTTTAAATACTGTTAGTTTATAAATCATTGAACGACCTAGCAATCTACCAGACCTCTCAAGTCTTCTGCATTCGCAGAACCAGAACCAAACATGCCGAAGCAACATTCAGCTTCTATGCTGCACAAATCTGG